GCAGCATTCCCATTGTAACTTAGACACCGGCACAACCCGCCTTGGCTAGTTTTTTACCATGCATTAAGTGTCAGAGAGGAATGGAAATGATTTTTTTTTGTTGTTGTTTGAGAATAAAGAAAAAAAACTAAGTGGAAAGAATAATCTTAAGAGTAAAGACTAAGGATGTACTTCTAGCAATTTCTGGAGGCTTTTCAACCAGGAACTCCTTAATAGTGTAAAAAATGAGGTAACCAGGATAACTTTACAGACCAGGTAAGTCCTGCCTTAGCCAGCTCTCCAACAGAAGGCAAATTAGAACTGCAGCATCTTCCCTAGAGGGAGGGAGAAAGAAAGGGAGGGACCTGAAGGATCCTCACTCCCTCCCTACTGTGTAACCTTCCCCACCAGTCAAAAAGAGGGCTTCAAGTTTGCAGAGCAGGAATACTTTTGAAGAGAAGAAATACGCCTAGAGGAGTCCTAAGCAGTGGGATGAGGCTACCAGCTATAAGTAAACAGTCGCTACCTTTTTTCTTTCCTTTGCTTTACCTTCTCCAACCGTTTTCTGCTTCTTAGGACTTGCTTGTGTATTGGCTTTACACTCTTAAGATCAGACTCTGACTATTTCAATGTTGCAACAACGCCTAGAGCATGTTTTAGGTGCTATGTGTAATTTTTAAAAATTATCTCAAATCTGTAAAGTGAATTGTGATAATATTCTGTGCCAAAATGGTAAGAGGGAAAATTCTTGGAAATGCTAAGGGGCTGTTTGAGTCGGGTAACAGACAGGGAATTTTTCCCTGGACTTCCATCTGGAAGCTTACAGAAAGACAGCAGAGTCCAACAAGAGGTTTGCAGGAGACACAGCACGGCAGCCTTGCTGCTGCCAGCATTTCCCCACAAGGCGCCTTCACCCACAGACAAACCACAGCAGCAAAAGGCACTTCATTATTGCTCCTCCAAAGAGAAGGAAGGGAAGAGTTTTAAACAACCTGCATTGTGCCCGTCTTCTTTAAAAACCAGCAGGGTAATCAAGTTCAGGGCAGCCCCGGACAGCTGCCCTGTGACCTATTCATGTTGACCCCCGCTATTCATCACTTTCCTTAGGACTATGAGGGCAAGCTCCTGGGGAGTGACCACCACAATAGACAGATACGAGCCAACAATAATACGGTTCCCGCAAAAAAACCAGATGGCACTGCAATAAATTTACAAATCTGCATTCATGGCTCTGTTAAAAACACCCAGAAGCTAAAAGGCTGGAGGGGCCCCCAGAGAGCTTCCCCTTCCCAGTTTCTAAAGGCCAGCTCTCTCCCCAAGACTATTGAGCTCATGTCCTTCATAAATGAAGAATGGAGACATAGCTCTTAAAATAACAAATGCCTGACCTAATCAATCTAGTGTTTGGGTCTAACGCTAAATGATAGGCACTGAAAACTAATTATGTTTTTTGGCAAGGAAGTTGAATTAAAATGGAAACACACAGGTTAAAAAGGCACTGAAGCATTTGCGAGTCCCTTTGAAAGGGCGGCACACACACACACACACGCTCACATGCAGGGCTTGAAACAGGAACCTGATTCAATAACTCATGCATTTATTTTTAAAATGAATCAGATTAGTCCCATGTGTGACCTGCCGGTCCATCTGTATGAGCTGGACTTAATGGGCACTCTTCTCACGCTTACTTCAGTTTGAAGTATGAGAGAGATAAATTTAGTTTAATTTTCAACAGATCAAGCTATCCATTTTCCAAATGGACCATCTGGATCAGCCTATTAAAATTAATTTATAACTTTGCAGTGTGAAAATTCGTTTGTTAGCTTAAATAAAGTTGCCAAAAACTTTTCCCACTTGTTATTGTTTTTTCTGAAGTCTGTTTTCATACTACAATTTTCAGTTTACCCCTTCAAAATTTAATTTTGTCAGATCAAGCACTCAACTGAACTGAACATTTGCTTCCTTACTTCAAAGTCTGTCATAACTTACATCTTTTCACTGTTCCAACTAAGAGTCAAGTTCATTGCCCTTTCTGTTTCCTTTCCCAGTGCTAACCTCCACGTCTCTTCCGCCTTGCTTCCCCTCATGCACTTAAGAGTGGCCATGCCTCCCACTTCCAGCATGCCAAGGACACAGCTCCACTCGCTGAGACTTCTGAAGACACCCTTTTCCCAGAACCATTTTAATCAACAGAACTCTGCTTATCCTACTAAGAGGTCCATAGCACTGAGCAATCGGGGTCTTCAGCCCCTACTTACAACTTCAGATGCTTAAGTAACCATTACACCATTTTATTACCTCCACCTTCTGACACGTCTGTTCTGCAAATCCATCCACCTGAGGAAACATTGATGGCTAAGGCTGCATACCAGCACAGCAAACAAGGCAAGAAAAGGTAATGCACCTTTGCTTAAACTTGTCAGCAGCTGAACACGTCCAGACATCATACTTCCCCTGAAGCAGGCTGATGTATCTCACTAATTTTCTAAAACTAATCAAGAATTACTAAATATGTGGGCACTTTCACTGGAAAGACCATTTAGGTAAACAGACTTCCCCCTCTTCCCACGTACACAGTCAGTTCCTCTGAGTATGCAGGTCCATGTCCCCAACAATGAAATTTTAACAGCAGTGTCTTAAGCGAGGGACACAAAATATGAAATTGTACACACAATATTTACCAAGTTAGCATCTTTCCACTAAGGTACTACTGAATTCAACACTTTTTGGTATTACTGCTTTGACAGCATTTGCCGATCAGGTCTTTTGGGTTTCACAAAGTATGGATAGACCTAAGACAGGGTAGCCACTCTGCATATTTTCCGACTGGAGATGCAGACCCTCCTACTCATTGGTTAAGAGTATATGGGCACATGGCTGTATCTGTGTCTGATTTCTGCACCTGGAGTTGGAAAACTCTCCATTGCTTCTTTTCCATTGCTAACAGAGAACAGGAACAATCTGAGCCTCCAAAATGCTCTGACAGCTTCTATTTATGCCTATGTAAAGAACAAAAATTCCTTCTACGATAGGCATAAAATTGTGGTCAACCACCTCCTATGATCTAGACGAGAGGGCATTTGCTTTAAGACCACAACTTGAACTTGTTCAGAAACACTGCTCTCAACACAAAAGGCTGCAGATAGCAATCAGAAGACCTGAGGATTTTGTCCTGCATCTGTCATTGTAAAGACTGGACACAAAGATGGAGACTGGTACAACATCTCAACAATATCCTGAAACACAGCTAACCTTCTTTGTCATAAACAACGTCCATGTGAATTACTTCCAAAATGAAATATATGGACAGTACAAGTGGGTTTTAGGTGTATTCTTGATATCTAGGCACCTTGGTTACAATGAATTGTGGGCCTGTGGGAAAGACAGCTTTCCCCAGACACAGAGAATACTTCTGCAGATCGAAATACAATGGAAGGGAAACTCCACTTGAGAAACTGTACCTTCTTGATCTGTATAACATTAGCTGTGAATATTTGTCTCCTCCTTAACCAATAATCACGATGAAGGGGACAGTGCGATGAGAAGGCACACAAGACAGGTAACTTGTGTTCGTTTTGACTTTACATCTCTTACTATGAACATTTTCTTGGAGAAGAGGCATATGCCTTTTCTTGTTGAACCTGAAGGCTTGCCATTAATAAGAGAACTCCAAGATGAAAAAAAAAACAGTTTTCTGGTGTGCTGGGCACCTTGTTGGCTATCTTGGGAACACACAGTAGGAACGTGGTAGCTTTGCATTCTTCCTCTAGCTTTTGTTGTTTGTTGTTGAATGCCTGAAACATTTTTACATTGGTGTAACATGTTTAATCAACTCTACAAGGTAATTTTCTCAGCAATATCTGGGACCTCACTCATTATCCTAGCATATTGCTTCTTGTCTAAAAGACTTACGCGGACTATGTCTGTTAGATGGACCTGTCATAGCCACAGGCAGTCCTTCACATGACACCTACTCCCACAAAATCAAGCACTCCTAAAACAAAAAACCCACCCAACCACCCACCACAAAACCAACTTTGAGCACAAACACACTATATCAAAAAGAAATTTCTTTCTTTACCATGGTTCTGACCCACAATTTCTCTTGGAAATAGCAGCAGTGGGGCAGTGTATTACTATCCTATTCCTCTGCCTGTCACTGCTGTTTCTGTAGCTGAGATGCAGAAGGAAATGTGCCAATTCCTCAGCTGCTGCAATGTTTGGCCTGGGTTATTCACTTAAGTGATTTTCATCAATGGTTTTACTCTGGTACACCAGGCAGCAAACTTGGATAGCTGAGGCATGGGCAAACTTTTCCTTCTGCTACCTGAAGGTTGCAGTGCAAAGAAAGAGCAAGGTACTACACAAAGCAGGACCTGAAATCACTAAATCCAACTTAAATCCCCTAGAAATCACACACCAGGCCCCCTTTGTTGACCACAGGAACTAAAAGAGGCATTCTTCTGAATTGGTAAGAAGTTTGCTTTACTATACATAAAAGCCAAACCAGCCCACCCTTTCTCTTTTCTAAGCATTAGCAATTTATATGAGTGTAGAAGAAACAAAAGCAGGTCATGATTCACGTTATTAACCTGGACATCACCTGCAAGAAAATTTACCTTCAAGGGTAATGAAAAGCTTAATTATTCTAGAACACTTTTGAGATTCTTGAACGCATGATCCGAAGCAAGGCAAAATACACTACAAACAAGACAGGAATGATTACAGAAGAAAAGGCTGAAGAGATTTTGATGAACACCAAACGGAGAAAGGTAAAACTAGAGAGTCACAGCTCATTGCACTATGCAAAAGTCTAGGTTTCTTTAGAAAGAGTCATCAGACTCTCCTGAAAGCTAAATTTATGTGTCTCATTTTCCTGGGTACAATGTGACTTGTTCAGGCTTCAAAGGGGAAAAGAAAGTATTTCCACGAGCACAAGTCAGACTTCAGCTTCCAGAAGCATTTAAGGATTCAAATAGCTAGAAAGTTTTATTGCATTTTTAAAGAGACTGATCACATACCTGTCTAAGCGAATTCTTCTCAGGAATGATCTTCCTAGGGGGCTCATCATTATTACAGTCTTCTCTCTCAGAGGAATTCTGTGAAAGAAAGTAAGCTTTAATTCAGTTCTTATCCCTAGTATCACTCTGCGAGGAGAAAAGAAACAGAATATTTGTACTACACAGGCTGTAGTATTTTACGCATACATATACCGGAGGCTAATTTGTACTTTTAAGCCAAACAGCTTGTCACGGCAGAGAATTTCTCCTCCTCAACACAACAATGCACCACTGAACAGGTATCTATTGAAGAAGCCTGTGCTTTGGGGATTTATTCTGAAACTAACAATAACGGCCACTTTGAAAAGCTGAAACGGTGGCTGGATCAGCATGGCAACACATGCTCCTGACTACCCCAGAATAAGTATTTAGAAGAGTCAAACCTGTTGAAAACAAAAGGTTGTTAAAGGGTGCAATTATTGTTCTCTGTGCCTCTTTGCTTTTAATCTGCGTAACAACTATTAATTGCACTGAGTTTGCTTGGCTGCCAAAAATCATACAGAAATTACGATAGAGCTAAATTCTGGAGAAATAGGTTGTCAGAAGATCCTTAAAGAAAAAAAAAATTGTGTAGGTAGCACATGGTATTATGGCTAGCCCCCTGACTCTACATCAACAAGCAATTTCTAGAAAGACTGATGCTCCAAAACTCAAGTTGCCACCTCCAAAAAAAGAGCATCAGTAGGACAAAAGAAAGTGGACAAGAAGAAATACAAGGGCTTTTCCAGCATGAGTAAGAAAGACCACCAGGAGACTTTTGTCCTCTTAACCTCATGATTAAAATCAATTATTACTTGCTTTAGAGCAAAGACAGGCTATTGTTTATCTCAGGATACACACAGTCTGTAGCAAACATTTGGTTAAAAACTGCTGGGTACGTGGGGGGAATCCTGTCCTCACTGCCAACCAAAGTGAGCTTACTCTGGAAGACAGCATTCCTTTGCACAGGTTCAGTCACTGTGTTGACACAGTAATGTCAGCAAGCTTTGGGGGAATCCCCCACACACATCTAAAATCAGTTTGATCACCACAGTATTCATAGCCTTAGGCCACATTCCCACGCATTCAGTAGTGAGCAACTAAACAGGTTTTAAAGAGATACAGAAAAACTGCTTAGGGAGAGCTCTGCCAGGAAAAGGGTGGTTTTTCCAGTTACTTGCAGACAAGCTCAGGAGTATGTATTTTCAGGCAGAAGTTTGCATTCTGTACCTCTCTCCCCTTGTCCCCCAAATAACCTGTCCTTCGCTGAGAACAGCTCTGTCTGGTTTCTTGCAGAGCCAGCTTCCAGCCCAACACCTCAGGAGACAGAAGTGGCATCTGTTGGCAGAGGAGGAGCTGGGCCCTGCGAACAGCCAGTGTGGCAGAGCAGGGCTAGCAGAAAGCAAGCAAGCAGCGGGAAGCCATCAGAAGAGCAGTGTGCTTGTGTGCCCGCTGCAGTGCTGCATGATCAGGCACTGTCTAGGCAGCTCGGGTTTGCTGGTCTGGTGAAGGGGGAAAAAAGGTACAGCCAGGAGGTAGGGCAAGGGTAGAAGCTCTTTGCTGAGAAATGCCAGATGGGGGAAGGAAAAAAAAACCCACCACCAAAAGACCCCATTTGAGATGTCACAAATTGGTTGGGAGGATTCTATGTAAATCAAGGCTTGCAGACCACCTAGAGATTTTTGAGGTTGGTTGTTTTTTTTTTTTTAAAAAACAACATATAGAACCTGCAAGGCACCACGACATCTCAGATGCTGTAACCAGTGTTTTATAATGGAAATTCATCCTAAACAGGCCTGATAAACCACTCTAAGAGACCAGCTTTTAAAAGTTTTCATATAAGGCATCAGCCAGGACCAAGTTATTACATTAAATCCAGCTTAGAAAGGACTGCAATTTTTAAAAAATACAAGGTAGAACTGCATATCTCCAAAAAAGGCCAGGCATTAAAGCTTCTCTTTTCTGCTCATGAAGTACCGTTCAGTAAGTCATTAATTCAAGTAAGGATTTTAATTTTTGTGCCTCGGAGAAAAAGACCAAGTGTGAGAACCATAAGAATCTGAAGTGAGTTACTAAACATTTCCAAGATATGCATTTTGCTGGAGGAAGTGGGGGGCGGTGGGGTGGTGAGGGGTTTACTATTTCTGGATGCTTTTTCAACATCCATCCCCTTCCCTACAATAAGGGCGAAAACCATTTCCCCTTCCAAATAATCTTTGTGAGATCTTGCATTCTTCTTGCCTTTCAAAGCCATTAAGGAACCTCCCTCAAAAAACATCAAAAAGCACGAAAAACAGTGCTGCTGGTGAACCGTCAGCCCTTATTTTGAAATCCCTAGTTACTGCAAAGCACCAAGTTATCGACTTTTTCTTTAAGCTGAGCATCTGATTTTAAGAGCAAGCAGAGGACCATTTTGCATTCATTATCTTTATAGGTGGCAAGGCTAAGAGGTTGGCTGAACAAAGACCAGACAAAGACTGCCAAGTGCATATGGTGGTTCACAGCTTGGCGTCTCACCATTCTACATCACCAACACAGCAGCTCCGATAGCAGACTATTAAAGAGGAGCGCTGCTCATGCACTTTTGTCGGCAAGTAAGTTACGCTTGGTGAAGACAGAATGACTGGAAAGCATCACACTTAAGAGAAAGCACAGATGTTTATAACTCCCGCTCATTTCTCAGGAACAGGAAACCCATCAATCCAGGTGCAGGTACAAGACCCTACATATTTCAGGACTAACTGTAGCTGCATGGAAGTGAATTTTGCTTGATAGGGCAACGCGTAGCCATGGCCATGGGAAGAACATAACGCAATCGACTGAGACAGTACATCTATATATTTCTCCTTGCTGAACATGGTGGGAGGAGGGATAAACATGTGCAAGGTTAGAATAAGGTTTGCTCCAGCAGGACTTCAGCAATCCTCTTGGCCACAAGAGAGGCAGACAAAGGGAGGAATTGCTCTGAGCACCCTCTCGTGGTTACTGAAATGCACGTCTCAGGTACAGACCTGGAAAGAAGCATTTGGCATCCAGACTGTAAGTTGGGTGTACTCACTGAGAATATTAAAGTTCTGCAGCAACTGTACTTGATATGTAATAGAGGAATGATGGAATTTGTTAGTGTGAAAGAAGTGAAGAAAAACAGTGCATACAGAAAGCTGAAAAGCCATACAAACTCCCATCAGGTAAAATTTTTAAATCCCACAAGCAAGCCTTTCTTCACAGACTAACGCTAGACTGGCCAAAAGTGTTGGCACTTGTGATGAGGGGTCTCTGCTTACGAACAAGTACAAGTGAGCTAAGATGAGAAGCGCTGAAGTTTCCAAAGCACAAACTGATCAACCTTGCTGAGAAAAATAATATCACCTCCCTTTCCACAGACAGGTAAAATAATATTTTTTTTTATTTGCTCAAGGTCACGCAATGACAGTGGAAGTGTTGGGAAGAGAAGCTAGGAAAACAAGCTCACAGTTCTTGTAACCTTCATGATTCTTCTCTAGCAGGAGATTCCTGAAAAGAAGCTCTGCCCTCCATAGCTCATTTGTCCTAAAATGGCTACTGTCTGTAACAAGATCCTTTTAAATCTGATTTGCATTTAAAACTTCAGCCTGTAATTAACAGAATATAACTCCATGGCAGGTTGTCTTAAAGACCACTACAAAATTATTACTATTTAAGTCTCCCCATGAAGCCTCCACCACAACTAAACACAACATGCTACAATGCATACGAAATCCCTAGACTGAAACATTTGACAGGAGATGACATGCAGTATTTTGTGTACACAGCCCAGCAAAACACCGCTGGGAAGGAGATATAATACACCGAGAAACGCACTCCTAGGGACTACCAATTGGGCAGAGCTACCTTTAGTACCACCTTGTTCATTGTGGTGGAAGTCAAACCCCTGCCAACTGGGGGAGGCTTTCTCTGGTGCTGTTCTGCCCTGCACTAATTACAAAAGACTAAAGACGCAGCCTTTTTCAAAGTGTGGGGAGGTGGGGGTGGGGGAGAAGCGTGTGTCTATGCAAAGAGCACAACTATTTTTTATGCTTTCAAATTCTTAATCCTGTTTGGAGCTGTCAGTGGGGGTTAATGGAAGCCTTGGATAGGAGAATTCCAATCTGGTTGGCAGATGGATAGGTTGGTTATAGCTGCATAACTATGTCTTGCCTGCAGGCACAATTCAGAACACTGTTAAAGCAATATAAAGTCTCTGTCAAGCTGAACCATTTGGATCAGTAGCAAGGAGAAATAATAATAAAAAAAGGAGTTCATTTCTGGGCCTTGCGCATTTATGCTAGTATGCAGAAACTGATTAATTGTCATCGTGTGCTGGTCTGCTATACCTCGGATTTCTACTTCTGGAGTAGATTTTGCATGCTAATATAATCATTCTCCCTCTTGAGACATTAGCAAATAATCAAATGAAAAACAGGATCATAATTTACTGAGATTCGGGCAATTCTCTATGCAAATTTGACTTGTTATTGCTGCTGCCTCGTTAATCTGAATGCCTTTGACAAACTCCTTTGATTTATGAACTCATGACAACTCCAATGTGTATATATTTTGCTAGATTGACATTATCATTAAGAGTGGGTGGACTGAGCTCACATGAATGGCTGATTTTATTCGCTGGTGTCTGCTGCTCAACAGCTGAGCATCTCCTTCTCACAAAGCCCCTGAGCACCAGGCTCTTCCCATATACCCATCCATTCATCATCTCGATGTTAATTGGCCCAGGCTTTAAGCAAATTTTCAACACGATTTAAAGGCACGATGACACTGATTACTGACCCTCTGCCATACGGTGCCTATTGATTAACCTGACAGAGATGATGAGCTTGAGGGAAACTAGGTGTGTGCGGACCTCAGGGAGGGAGAAAAAAATATATATATATTGTTTATGCAGGCAAAACACTTGTCATTATCCCAAAGGCCAGAATTTGTGCTGCACTGGCCCTTAAAACACACTATTGCTTTAAACACCTGCATCCAATACAGAAAATGCTGGCTTGCTGTGGAAAAATGATTACAAATTTGATGTCATGTGCAGT